ACACACACAATATATATAGAGAGAGAAATAATGTACATTTACAGAGTACTTTTGTTATTAATATAATACAATTAATTTCCTAAATATGTCTTTGTAAAACAAAAGGATGAGTTTCTAATGCTCTGACTCACCCACAAGCACAAACAGGCTTGCTGAAACAGTACCAGCCAAAAGCAGGCATGTCAAGAGTGGGCTGGAAGCCCTCTTATGCAATGCTCAGTTTAAGTTCTTCAAAGCACAACAAATGTGTATAATTCTGTTGTTTACACATTCTTTTCTATAAAACATACCTGAACTAAAAAGAAAAAAATATATAATTGTATAAAACAAAAAGCAACACAGGTGAGACTAAGTGGCAGGGGACAGCAGGGGTGTATGGATTGATGCAACCCTGTGAGAGGGGGATGTTTTGTGGCAACATACAAGGAACGGAGGGTGATTTCTCATAACAGAGCAGATCTGCCAGCGGTAATACAGTCCAGGTCATCGCTGCAGCAAACCTACATTGTTCTTTTTCCTGTGAAGCTCCAGTGAGTCCCTCAGCTCAGCCAGCTCATCCTGCAAACTGCAGACCTGCTTCTCCTTCTCTGACAACCTGAAAACACCAGGGGAACCGCTCGCTGTTAGACATTCTGCTGAGTCGTTAACGGCAGCCATAATTTAAAACATGGATAGGAAGAATGGTTACATTACTTACTCTGCAAGGAGCTCTGGGTTTGGCACCGCAGCGTTCGACTGCTATATAAGAAGATAGAAGAAAAAAATGAAATAAGTAATCRTCTTTTTCTACTTAAAGTCATTTAATGACATTCTTCCTCACCTGTTGCTGTAGCTGCTCCACCTTCTCACTCACTTCTCTTGTTCTTGTCTCCAGTTCAGCCTGCAGCGCCTGAATTTCCTGGTCCTTTACTGTCAGCCTATGATTCAGATTTGCTCATCAATTGTTTGATATTACAGGAGGGTGGAAACGAGCTGCAGAGTCAAGGGTGGGGTTGACTTACTGAGCCTGGAGTTCCTGGATCTTGGCCTCAGAGCTGCTCGGTCCCTGTTGTGTCTCTTTGTTCCTCAGCTGCTCCAGCTCCACCTGAAGGGCAGCCAGTTTTTGTTCCAGAGTCTAGGAAACAAAGAGCATTTCAAACGAGCATTAAAAAAAGGGAAAGGAAAGAGAACAAAATAATTGGGATTTGCTAAAAATTGAATTTCAGTTGGAAAAGGCCACACCTCGACAGTCTTCTCTCTGGTAGAGCTACTGGCTCGTTCTGCCTGCAGAGTCTCCTCCAGTGATTTCAGCTTCAGATCCTTTTCTTGGATCCTGCACAGAACATCATAACATGATTCTAATATGCCAATACAGCCATGGTAAACACCAAAAAAAGCAAGTGCACACTTCAAATTCTTACTTTTGACATAACTAAATTAGCGGCATTTTAACTATTTCTCAGTGGGCACAGAGTCCATGAGGGCTACAGCCATGTCTGCTCAGAGGTTGTAAAAATATCAATTTATTGTTTGTATATAAAAATCACCAAAACAAGTCCATTCGAAAAATTAAAACTCTGTATAACTCAGTTCTTATTTTTTCCTTTTCCAAATAAATGTTTGTATCCGTTTACTTTATTTTTTTTATTTTGATAAAGGGATAAAGTTTGATGCATCTTTTGTAGAAGCAAACATGTAAAAAAAAACTAAAGACTTTACAGTTAAATACATTGCCCAACATGGTAAGTTCTTTGTTAATGCGTTAAGCATTTATGTAACTGTGTAGTTTTCTTTTAATCTATTGAGAAACTGTGTTTCCTGCATGAGTGTTCAGCATTGCGTGGAGGTAAGAAACGGGGTTTTCAGGAAAATAGTTTGGGAACCACTGTACCGCTATAATACGGAATTTTATTTAAAGTTTGTCCAAAAAATGAAAATGAAATTCAGTTATAGAGCCAAAGAACACCTAGCATTTCAGGGTGTTTTTAATAAATCATTAGAATATTATATTTCAGACCCAGACTATGTAGAATCTCTATAGCAGTGGTTGTATTTTTGCTTTTCAGACATTAAGTTTTTCATTCAGACATGACACTGACAGCACACCCTGTGCAATATCTGCAACAACAGACATTCATCAATTGCGCACTTGTTGCTGTTATTGGAATCGACCTAATAGGATTGCTGTTGCAACTTTCATGTAAATGTGACCAGGGTTTAGCCTCCAGGACAAAATGTTCAGTTCAAGGCAGATTATCAAAGAAAGGGAAAAAAAAGAAAGCATGCTTGAAAGGAGYTTTTATGAGTCCTGAACAAACTGGGTAGAAATTAGCTTTTTCCAGTAACTTATTACAAACACATAAATACCAGCATTAACTATAGGTCTTACTTGCTTTGTAGTTCTCCCACTATTAACTCTGATGATGCCTTCAGTAAAAGAAGAATAAATAAAATAAGTAACAGGTAGGAGTAATAGTAATAAAACAAGTTCAGGAGATCTTATTTTGGTAGACTTCACCTGTTCTGCTGTCTTTCTCTTAAGGTCCTCAATTTCTTGTCTCTGTGCCTCATATTCTCCTTTTACCTTCTGTATTAAGGGAAAAGAAAAACAGAGTGAAGTAAATTAAATGAACATCCTTCTAATGTGGTTGTGTGAGTGTGAAGCGGAATATTATCGTTGTTCCTTTCTGAAACAAGACAACTGAATTTTACCTTCAGCTCTTCTTCCTTGTTGGCCACTTCTATCAGCCCCTTCTCCAAAAGTCCCTCAACCGTTTTAATGTTCTCCTCCTTCTCTCGAACACTGGGTAGGAAACAGCATTTCATCAAATGAATGAATGAATGAATAAATAAATAAATAAATAAATAAATAAATAAATAAAAAGACTGGATTATTTGGTTTCATTAATTGTTTAAAATATTCTCCAGTTTACACACCCACCTCTTCTGAAACTGGTCCAAAGCCTGCTGGGATGCAGTCTGCAGACAAAAAAGAAGGGAGTGTTAAACAAGAAAAACACAAACCTGTTTAAGGAACGTGTTTAAAAAAAAAGGGTAGYAAGCTAACCTGATCAGCAATCTGTGCCTGCAGATTCTGAATCTCTGCCTTTAGTGACATGTTTTCATTGTGCAAAGCCTGCAAGAATAAAGAACATAAAATATTTATTCTGCTTTGACGCTTTTATACAGGGAATAAAACATATATGACATCCCCCTGCTACAGTGCGGCCATTGCCAGTATCACTCCACCCCCTGTTAACAATAAGTGTTAATTAGGTGTCAACGATAGCCACATGATGTGAGTATCAGTCACATGGAGGCAGTGCTTAAAAGCCTGAATTTTGCCTGAAACTCTCAGACTGAAGAAGTCTCTTGGAGGAGAGACGAAACATTTCATTAGAGAAGAACCCGTCCAGAAGACCTACACAATTTTTTTCTTTTTGATATATGACTTCTGTGAAGGAGTATTTCGTCTTGTCAGCCTGGTTGAGTGCATGTTTGTAAATCCAAACAGAGCTGTAGACGAGGCGCTCTGGTAAACACACCTGCATGTTTGTTTCTCGACTTGCCCCGCTGCTCCTCTCAGCATTTAGAGAATCCTCCAGACTCTTTCGCTGCAGCTCCTTTTCAGCCAGTCTGTGCGAAACGGCAAAAAAGAGAAGTGAGGTCACAGTTTGTTAGAAAAGCCCAACAGACTCACTCCTGATGCAATGAAAAGACAAAGCTTACAGCTTTTGTAGCTCCTCAATGTGGGACACATGGGTGGCCTAAATGTAGAACAGAGAAATCTTGTTAGCCTACATAGAGCAGATATGTAGGTTTGAATCTTATTTTGCTTTAACATATATAGATGTAGTTGACCCAGACCTGTGACGAGATCTGGGCCTGCAGGTTCTCATTCTGGACTTGCAACGTYGCCTCCTGCACCTGAAGTGCTTTGTTTTCATTCATGAGTTCCTATTAAAAMAGATTAGGTGAGCATTAGGAGACTGATGCTCCATCTTAATGCAAATTTACAARTAATCTATTACACAACTAGCCTCACCTGAACCTGGACCTGCAGAGTGTCGTCCTGCATGCTGTGCTGAGACATCTCCATCAGCTCCATCACCCGCTGCTCCAGCCGCTCCTTGGAGACCATCGCTTCAGTCAGGCTGCTGTGTAACGTCTGGATTTCCTTGTTCTTGTTGTTCATCTCCGTCTCCACGCCCAGCAGCTGGCTGTGAAGCTCTGCAAGCRGAGAACTGACTTAGGAAAACCCACAAACACCGAAAGCTTCTCAGTCCTCCACCTGTCTTTACTCACCTTGCTTCGAGGCTTGAAGTTTTTCTCTTTCGGTGTTGACTGTGTGGAGAAAGTTTTGCAATTCCTCCCAGCGTCGCTTTGCATCCTGTAGCTGGGCCTGCAGATGAAGAAGCTYGTGACTCTTCCAAACAATACAGAAACTAATATGATTTAACCAGAGGTGTCAAAAGTATTCACATTCATTACTTAAGTAGAAGTATAGATACTAGGGTTTAAAAATACTTTTTTGGAAGTAGAAGTATCTTTTTACTCAAGTATAAAAGTACTGGTTTTAAAACTACTTAAAAGTACAAAAGTTTATGTAATGAACATTTAAAAAGAAAAAAAAACATTAAGGATAAAAGCTTAGGCTGTGCCACAAGGTTCTATAG